AGTGGGGGCGGCATGCTCGGGGAGGAGGCGGAGCAGAGGTGAGCTGGGGTGGGGAGCTGCCGCACGGCTCCCCGGGGGGGTGGAGCTGCTGCGGGGGGGGGCGGCTCAGGGCAGAGGGAGGGGGAGCTGCTGCGGGGGGGGGCGGGGAGCTGCCGCAGGGCTGGGGGGGGAGGGTGCAAGGTGGAAGTTTCGCCTAGGGCGCGAAGCTTCCTTGCACCGGCCCTGCATATCACAATCATATCACAGTGGTAAAAATGGAGGTTCCAGGGTGTTACTTTGAAGTACCGAGTGTCAACAGTCTGTCAGTGCTCAGCTGATGCCTATAGACTTGACAAGAGCTGGCACCAGGTTTACCAGTGTCACAAGAGGTTCTGCTCTCTTTGAGTGGAAGTGGGTACAGTAGATGCTCATTAGTAGCAACATATCTGTTCCCCATTTGCTATGTTCCTCCTAAGGCCTGGTCTACACTAACCCCCCAATTCGATCTAAGGTACGCAACTTCAGCTACGTGAATAACGTAGCTGAAGTCGACATACCTTAGTTCGAATTTACCGCGGTTCAGACGCGGTCCACACGTGGCAGGCAGGCTCCCCCGTCGACTCCGCGGTACTCCTCTCGCAGAGGTGGAGTACCGCAGTCGACGGTGAGCACTTCCTGGTTCGACTTATCGCGTCCAGACCAGACGCGATAAATCGAACCCAGAAGTTCGATTGCCAGCCGTCGAACTACCGCGGTAGTGTAGACCTGGCCTAAGCAACTGTTGCTGTTATGGGGAGTGTCATCTGACCAACGGCAGCCTGCTTTTTCTGATAAGTAAACAGTTACAGTATATTCATTATTATTGCTACAGTATTACATTAGTATACCCACTCTACATTTTAAACATATGCTCTATTCTGCATTTGTAGTCTACTACCATATTGTATCAAGAACGTGGTATTAATTGAGTTAATGTTCTAAAAATATCGTTTTATTTTTTTGTTTTAAGAACAATCAAACATCAACAATGACAACAAACACAACCTCTTGCTCTTATTTGTAAACATTTTTTGTACTTGTGCTTAACTATAATACTTCGTATGCACTGTAAATTGCCCTGGATAAGGGCATCTGCTAAGAAAATAAATAACAATGCTGTAATAACCTAAATTAAAATATTATTCCACATCAAAGTGTATTCTACTTATACAGGGGTCTGGCTGTGAAGGTGGGTGGTAGTGACTTCAGGTGGTCCAGCTGTGGGTGGGGGTGGCCTGGCTACGGAGGTGGGTGTCTGGCGGCAGAGGTCCTGGCTTTGGGGGTAGGTGGGTGTCTGGCTGCTTCTGGCTGTTGGGGTGGCAGCAGGGGTCCTGGCTGTGGGGGTGGGTCTCTGACGGCGGAGGGGCCCGGCTATGGGGGGTGTCTCTGGCGGCGGAGGGGCCCGGCTATGGGGGGGGGTCTCTGGCGCCGGGGGCCCGACTGTGTGTGGGGGGGTTCCTGGCTGTGCAGCCGGGCGATATCTGGGGTTGCGGGACTCTCCGCCACAGGAGGTGCCAGGCCCAGCCGGTCGCTTGGCAACGGCCTCTCCACCCGCCCTTGCGCTCCGGGGGTGCGTGCGGCGGGCGGGGCCGCTCGTGACCTCACTTCCCAGGGCCCGGCGGAGTCTGGCTCGGCCTGTGCCGCCGCTTCTGTGGTCTGGCGGGGGCATGGAGCAGGGTCTCTCCGCTATCACCCTGTACTGCGCCTCCCCAGCCGGGACCGCACCCGCCGTTGCCCCCCGCGCCATGGAGCAGGAGCAGGTGAGACCGGCTTCCCCAGGGGCTGGGGCACTGCCTGAGCCCTCATCCCCCGCCCCGTACAAGGGAGGGGCTGGGCTGGGTCGGGCCGGGCCACGGTGACCCAACACCACCCATGGGGGGACTGGCAGGAGCTATTCTCTGTTCTTCCGAGGGCCAATGGGGCAGCTGCTGCCCACCGCAGAGAGGCTTCCCGGCCCCTAGGGGAGCAAAGGGGGGTGACGTGGGTCCGTAGCTAAAGCAGGGGGTTTGGGAGTCAGGACTCCTGGGTTCTTTTTCCAGCGCTTCCTGTGGGTGGTCCTCAGCAAATCACTTTTCCACGGCTCAATGCCCTGCCTGTGCCACCACAGGGTAGTGATTCCCTGTCCCCCAGGGCTGGCGTGAGGCTGAGGTCATCAATGTTTGTAAACTGGTTGGAGAGTCTTGGGTAGAAGATGCTACATAACTGCAAAATTTTTGTTTATTTCGATGGTAATAATAGCCCCTAAGCCCTAGACGTTACTTGCCTCTTCCCGTGGCTCAAAATAGTTGTCAAATTTATATAGACACAACATTGTTTTACCTTGTAATGTATAGCTTGAAGGCCCTTTCCTGTGGCTTCTCCTGCCACCTTTAGAAAATTGGACCTCTTTCCATAAATCACTGCTTCAGTAACTGCATGATTGACTTGAAATATGGCTGCCCACTTTTGTCAAGGCTTATTTGTAACCCTACAGGTGATGGTTCTGTAGAGTTTAATACCTGATGGCAAGTGGTTCCTCTCAAGTGGTTGGTAGGGTCGGATTGAGGGCAAAAGATGTCTCTTGGACGTTGATTTAAGTGTGAGAAGCTCCGTATTTCTTCCTAGCTTACGTCTTGTTTTCTTGCTTGCCAAAGCAGCACAACCATTTACTACAATGCCTGTCATGCTTTTGCATGATTTTTCTTTTTTCAAATAGAGCTTTAATTTGTTTTCATTCCATTTAGGTTGTGAACAAAGACTTTTTTCTGGCAAAACTAGCTAAACAGTGTAGCTGGGTGGGGGTGTGCAAGTGAAGTCAATGTAGTTTTAGTATGTGGCTTTGGTTTAATGATGACTGGCTGGTGAGATAGTGTGTCTTGTCAATTTTTTTTTAATCTCTTGCAACAGGGGGCAGCAGCATCGTGGAGGTGGTGGCCCCAAGTGATACCTGATTCACAGGCCTTATCTTGCAAGCCCTACAATGTAGAATTCCCAGTGAATTCATTAAGAGTTCTGCACATGGAAGGTTTTGCAGAATCCAGGCTCATGAGTAGCATTGGGGAAATTGGAAGCTTACTAGGTTCTTACCTGTCTCAGATTTTATACTAGAATATTAATCACTTCATTTGTTCAGAAGTTTAAACACTTCATAAATATCTGCACTGGCCCAGAGTTCTTGTGCTTCACTTAGTAAATAATGCCTGTTACAAATGAGTTTGATACATTTTAAATTCAGACAAGTTTCAGCTTTCAGCAAGTTGTGGTGCTAACTTGGCAAGTGTATTGAGATATAGCCATCTTACATATAAGGGACATTACTTCTTAAAAATAGTCTTTAACCTGACAAATTTCCTTACCTCTGCTACTAGTGACATCTGAGATGACCAAAAGTGAACATTAAAAAAAACCCAAAAGTAATATGCTCTTTCGCTACTTCATGCTTTGTTTACTTTTTGCATTTCACAGAGTTTCGCTTTTATAGCCAGCCTCTAGCTGTTTTCACTTCTTGTGTTTTGGTGGTTGCTGCCATCAGTAGAACACTTTTTAATATTTCAACTGAATTTAATAAAGGTGCAAACCTCCCCCCAAAAACCCATCAACAAAAGAAAATAGGATCAATAAAGGCATTAGGAGGCAGTGTGTATGGAAATATTTCTCACTAAAGCCTGCTAACTTTTTCAGTGCTTCTTTAAGCTCCCTGATCTTTATTTTACTCTCATTTTAGGTCTTTTGTCCTATACTGAGGCTTGTGTAGGTTGACAAGTTTTACCTGAAACAAAGTAAGGACATCCTTTGGTATAGAATTTTAGGGGACTTCTGATCTGAACAAGTGATGAGGCTAATGGATTGAAAAGATTGATGCACAGCCCTGGTTTCCATATTACTTTTTTCTCTTGGCATTTTTCTTTAAGTATGTGAATTGAGTACATGTGAAACTGAGGAGGTCTTGTAGCACTGTCTTAGGTCAGTCATACTATAGCAAGTATAGCAGCTCTGCCAGAGCACCCAAGTCCGCTATTATTATATTTGTGTTCCAGTAACACCTAGGAGCCCATCACGGATCCTGGCCCTATTGTGCTAGGCACTGTACAAGCCCAGAACAAAATGTCCCTGCCCCAAATAGCTTACAATCTAGTATAAGACAGGAGACAGATGGGTACAGACAGGAGCACGAGGAAACAATGAGACTGTATTGGCCAGCATAATAGGCAGCAGTTTCAGTGTGTCAGGAGCCTAACCATTGTCCAGATTTGTGCAGGTGTCCTATTAAAGAAGGGATTTGAAAGAGCACAATGAAGTAGCTTCACCGATGTTTACGAGAAGCTGCTCCCAATTTTGTGGGATAGCATGGGAGAGAGCACAAAGGTACTTGTTTGCAAGAAGTAAGGTGGTGAAGGCTGACAGAGCAGAGACGGGAGTTGACATCTTAATAAAGCATATCAGAGATGATAGGGGATAGGTTGAGAAGGGCCTTGAAGCTGAAGACAAATAATGTGATTTGATGGAGAAGGGGGAGCCAGTGGTTGGATGAAGAGAGTGAGGTGATATTGTCAAAGTGCTGAGCTGGGAGAATGATCTTTGCCTTAGCATTCTGCATGGATTTGAGTGGGGGAGGATTGCATTTGTCAAGGCTGAAGCAGAGGTCATTGTAGTGATCCATACACAAGCTGATGTGAGCTTGGGTGAGAGTTTTAGCTGTGTGGATGCATAGTAAGGAATATATGTTGACGATCTCAAGCACAAAGAATTGCCAGGTCTTTATCGCTTCTGCTATTCTGTTCTTGGGCTACTGTTCTTAGCAAACTGCTGGTTGTGTGATGCTTTTATGATGTGCACAAATGAGAATGAGATGAGAATACTAAATTAATTCCTGTTTGTGATCCAAACTAAAATTTGAGCTCAGGTATGCAAATAGAAAAGCTAGCATAATAACCCACTGGTATATTTAGCCCCTTCAAGGTGTACTAATTTAGTCTGAGTCACACTTCACATGTTCTTAAATTGTTTAGATACTGATTTCTTTGAGATATGAACCTCTTAAGAATGGAATTTGAATAACACTAAAAGCAAACTACTGTATTAATTAAATATTAAGATTGTAGGATTTTTACTTTATAGATGTAGCGGTGCACAAGGCTACATACATACATTTAAGAGTAGTGGAAAAGTAGAATTTAAACACAAATAATAAATATTGAATCATTACAGTTTTATTGTAGGAGTAGCGCAGACAAATGGGCAGTTCCATTATTATAATTTCTATGGTGTATTGCATTGTCATTGTGTGGATATGTAACAAAGAGCCCTATTGTAATGCATATACACAGTTTCCACAGTAGCCTTTACTGTAGCTCCTATCTTAGAATTTACTGACTTCTGTGTAATTAATGCAATGTTAAGGTTTAGATCAGGGGTGGGCAAACTATGGCCCAGGGGCCCCATCCAGTCCTCCAGATGTTTTAATTCGGCCTTTGAGCTCCTGCTGGGGAGCGGGGTCCGGGGCTTGCCCCGCTCCGGCACTCCAGCCAGGGAGTGGGGTCAGCGGCATGTCCCCCCTCTGGCTCCTACATGGAGGCACAGCCAGGCGGCTCTGCACGCTGCCTCTGCCCCAAGCGCCTGCAGACAGGGCAGCATGCAGAGCCGCCTGGCTGCGCCTCCACACAGGAGCCGGGGGGGGGGGACATGCCGCTGCTTCTGGGAGCTGCTTGAGGTAAGCACTGCCCAGAGCCTGCACCTCTGGCCCCCTCCTGCACCCCAACCCTCTGCCCCAGCCCTGATCCCCCTCCCACTCGCTGAACCCCCTCGGTCCCAGCCCGGAGCATCCTCCTGCACCCACTATCCCTCATCCCCAGCCCCACCCCAGAGCCCGCACCCCCAACTGGAGCCCTCACCCCCCACACACACACCTCAATGCCTTGCCCCAGCCCAGAGCCCCTTCCCACATCCTGAACTCCTCATTTCTGGCCCCACCCCAGAGCCCGCACCCCAACCCCCAGCTTCGTGAGCATTCATGGCCCGCCATACAATTTCGTGAGGTTTTTACCCACGAAAGCTTATGCCCAAATAAATCTGTTAGTCTTTAAGGTGCCACCAGACTCCTTGTTGTTTTTGTAGATACAGACTAAGACGGCTACCCCCGATACTCCATACCCAGATGTGGCCCTCGGGCCAAAAAGTTTGCCCACTCCTGGTTTAGATGTTAAGGTCATCTTTTACCTTTAATTAAAAGAAGCCAAAATAGAAAAGCTGTTTCAATAAATACTTTTTCAAATGCACCTGTTTAGTTTAATGTCTGGGGATTGGTCCTGCTTTGAGCAGGGAGTTGGACTAGATGACCTCCTGAGGTCCCTTCCAACCCTGATATTCTATGATTCTCAAACAGGTTTTCTTCATTTTTCAAAATAGATTACCTATGAGTTGAGAATTAGTAGGAGACCTCATTCATGAGTTGCCAGCTAGCCATTTCTGTTCTAAGTGTTTGTACTATTTATAAGCACAGAGATGGGGAAAGGAGAACAACAACAGTGGAAAACATAATAAAGAAGAGCATCTGTGTATGCAGACTTTAGACTTACAGGGGATTTACACTGTAACTTCTACTAGTTAATGTGCAGCAAAACCGTTGGAAAAAAAATTGATTTACTTCCTGGTGCTGCAGTGTCTTTTCAAATGAGATTCATGTGGCTTTACAGTTGCAGTATTTACTAGATCTCTTGTTTAAACTAGTGGAGGGAATACATTCTTGATAGATTCAAGTGATTTCATCCCTGACTTCATAATT